GATTCTATGATTCTATGATTCTATGATTCTATGATTCTTCTCATCTATACAAGCTTCTCTAGCAACGTATTGTTATACCAATGCTATGTAGCATTTCATGACCTGATGAATGCCGACTCCTGCAATAATCGCTGAAGAAATGCAAACATGTATTTAAAGTTACATTTTCTTATCTTTTGTCCTCATTACACTGTAGTTACAGTTCTTCCCTAGAAGAAAACTTTCAAAGCTTAAATATTGCAGTAGAAACTTTCCAAAGTTACCCAGTAATAAAGAAATAGTAATTCACATTTGTATTATTTTCCATAGGACTTGTCTGTATATATTTCAAGCAACTCACATATTCAAAGACTTGTGGGAGTATTGATATAAAAGCATTCAATGTAAAATAATACTTTTCTCCAGTGTATACATGTAGCCACATGCATTTTCAGTGAATTGTATGGAACAATTCACAAAATGAAGAAATTGAGATACAGTACATTACACCTGTGGATTGTGCTCTTGCTGTTTAAAAATGATCTATTGTCTTTTAACTGTGATTTTACTGTATGTGTCTTCCAGATGTGTGGAGGTGATTGCCAAAGAAGGCCGGAACCTGAAAGAGCTGTATTTAGTGTCTTGTAAGATCACTGACTACGGTATGTAACATACCTATATCTTTGGTTTTGCGGAGATTGAGCTCTACTAGCTTTGCACAGGGACTCTTATAAAAGAGTTGGAAATGTTATAGACAAAAAAATTCAGAACCTTAATCCATAAAAATAGGAAATGTACAAAAAGTGTTTGACGTGTTTAAAAATATCTGTGGTTAGAAGTGTGAAAGTCAGTGTGCGTATGTGCTGCAATGTGTTCCTTTTAGAATTGACAGTTATGGGGCAGACTGGGTAGAGTGCCCTTGGAATTGTCGTGGAGGCCAGGAGAGCATTTGAGAGAAATTCCAAAAATATATGTGGATTTCTAGATGTTGAAATGGATAACTAAGCAACTATGAGCGTGGATTCATTACCTATTGTAGGCCATAAAATTTGAATGAACTTAACGATACCTTAAAAATGCTGTTATGAAAAAACAGAGAGGAGCAACTCAGGAATTAGGCTTTCTGTCTGATAGGCTACATAGGGAGACAGAATTTGTATTTGGAATAGGAAGACTTCTTAGCACTTGAGTGTGTTTGCAGAGGCTGCTTTTTTTATCTTGTTTTGTTTTTTTCAAATAAGACACTTGTTTCTGCAGTAAGGCCAAATACTCAAACATCTGTCTCCCACTTACATGCCTGAAGTTTGGTAGGATTTACAAACTGTATCTTTGAGATGTATATCTCAGGTTTTCTGATTATCTTGTTTCTCATTCACTTTTTTTTTTTTTTTAAATTTTAACTTTACTCCGTAGCTTTTATAAAGAATTACTATGTCAAAGTGATAAATGACCTTTCCAGCGGTCACAAACTCATTCTTTTATTTTGCCCTTCAGATTTTGCCCTTCACTGTGGTTTGCATGGGTGCATTCAAGGGTATGTCGGTCTGCAGAGTTCAGCTCACCTCATGTCCACAGTATTTGAACATGAGCTCACACAGCTGTAGCACTTGTGGGAGCTTTGGGACATGGCAGAGGAGAGGGAGCATGAGCGTATACCACCACTTACTTTGGTCTGCAGTTGTTTGTACTTCCATGTGCAGAACAATTCTTGCCAAAGTTGAAAACATAGATTTTCTTGGCTAGATACCACTTGGACAAGATGAATTTGTGAATTTGTGAAATGGGAACTGTCTGCTAGAAATTGATGGAGGGGAATTGTCTGTAGAACACAAAGTGACAATGAAAGTGCTTCTTGTCACTGCTGTAGGGTCAGAGGTGCGGGATTTCAGACTATCCATTTGTGTATTGTAGTTGTATTTTTGTCCCTTCTGACTTCAACACATGAAGAAAGACTTATTATGGGAATAATGGAATCCACATCTTGAGGATCAATAATTTCTCAAACTGATTTCACTCTTCATTGGCTGCACTTATTGTGAGGAAAACAGGATTTCTCCCAAAAGTAGGGAAACACTGAGAAACTGAAGCGAAGAAACTGAGGATAGGGAAAGTCTTGCTTATTAAAGAATGGAGAGAGGGTAAAGGAAGTGTCAATGGCTAGATGAAATGTGGGAAGTGTGTTTCACAGAATGAATGGGTGGAGAATATATGTAGAGTTCGAATGATTAGCTTGGCAACCATAGTCATCCAACCTCAGCTTCTGTTGGCTTCTGTGCACTAAGGCTCACCTGTCACTAATGTGTTGGATTCTGCAGTCATTCAACATTATTCCAGTCAGTTACTGGGACTTTGAGAACATTTTCAGTTCATACTGTTGATACTAGGTTTTACTATCTACTTAAAAATGTGACTGTTTATGCTAATAAGGATCAGTAAGACATCCAGCAAAACAGCTGTGATACTGACTGATTTTTTGGTACATTATTAAGACTAATTGATTATCATTATAATCTTCAGCACATCTCAGCATGCCAGCCTGACAAATACATTCATCTGCTTGTGATATTTGAGCTGAAAATGCAAAATAAACAGTTACAAAGTATAATTTATAAGCATAATTTATGCTTTGTAAGGAAGTCAAAACTTTGTCTAGATTAAAAATGTGATAGCAAGTGAATATTAATTAGGTTAACAAGAGTGTTGCAGGGTGGAGCCAGGCTTCACCCTTTTCCTTTCTTCCTTTTTCATTTATTTCTTAGTACTTCTGTGGAAGGCTTTCCCACATTTGTTTTTGGTACTGTTAAGTTAAAAAAGGGAGGTCCTTACAGTGCTGTGAGCTCAGTTTGTTGTTAAACTTCCTTTATCAAAGAAGCTGCCTCTCTTCTATGAAGGGAAAAGAGCAGTCGTCTTCTTCCTTAGAGGCTATTCAAGCCCTCATGTCCTCTGCACATTTATATTTGTGGCAAGTGGAGGAAATCAGCCGAGAAGCATGTGGCTGACTTCTTGTGGGATCATTCAGGTGGTCTCCTGTGGTCTTACCAGGACTTGCTACTTCACATGCATAGTTGTTCAGGCACCACCAAGAAGTGAGTAAGTAGAGCCTGAAGCTCTGTGAGGCCCTCACTGGATGGGAGCATATAGCTGTATGCAACTGTGCTTTTTTTGTTTGATGATCTGGAGGGTGAAACACCTAGTTGTCCTTGCTTTGGAAATTAAAATCTTGACACCAACTTTAAATTGTAATTGTACACATTTTCACTGGATTTTTAAAACGTACCTAGAGCTGGTAACCAGATTTCTTGCAGCTTGGAGGAGTACAGATGCAGGCATGGAGTACAGATGCAGGATTTTAAAAGCCCTCTTTGAAACTGTTCAAAACCAACTTTTGATGCAACGGCAGTTAGAGGAGTTTTGACCCCTGGGACGAGATCATAATTGCTTATAAATTAAACTGCAAAAAATAGGTAATATTGCTAATTTCCAACAAAATTTGTAATAGTTTGAGACATAAATTAAGAAAAAACAGTAATAATAATTACAGTAAATAAAGAAAAAAATTACAGAAATGTTGCCCTGCAATGAGGTATGTATGTGTGAAGTAATATAATGTGCTCTAGTGAAGACTGTGAAGTGTGAACTTCGTCATTTTAGTCTTTTCATTCTTTTGTTTTCCAATTTCTACAATAACATAGCATGCAAAACCATCAGACATGCTTATACGCAATTAGTATTTACAAAACACACTAAATTTTATTTTGAAGCCTAAAAGATTAATTAAAAACCCCAACACCCTGAAAATGTAGCCATAGCCAGCAATATTTTCTCTCACATTTTGCTGCCCAGAGAAATGTTCAGTTGTATTGTACAAAAAAGCAGACAGAAGAGGATTCAAAGATGAATTGAAGCATCTGTACATACAAAGAGTTGTTAACTTGTGAAAAAAAAAGAATATATTGCTCTATTTCATGTCATGTTACACAATGATTAATTTTGTATTTTTTGTATAAAAAAGTATTTTGTTTACTTCTGAAGAATTTATAGAATGAAATCTTTGTTATGTTTGGCTAGCATAATTTTCTAAAAATCTATTTTTGATTAATGGTGGGTTTGTTACAGTGTAACATGCTAGGATGCTGAAAATGAGTTTAAAAGTTTCTTTACATCCAGCAGATTGCTAAACGCTAAATAATCGCTAGAATTTACCTAAACTGACAGGAGAGACTGAATTAGTATAATCTGTGAGATAACCACCTGTTTGCCCAAGAACACAGTGTGAAGTTAAAGCTGCTGACATTAGTTCCTTATACCATTTTGCCCTATTGTTAAACGATCATGAATTAAGCATGGATTGTCAGTGTTATCTTTGAATTTCCTGCCTTTTGTTGATTTCTGTCACAACCTTAACCTTGCTTAAACATAGGGGGTTTTGTATTTAAGCTTTTACTAAGAACTAGTAAGAAAGCTAGGCTTTCTCAGCTGTGGGGAGACTGTGTGTCAAATGAATTAGGTTGATGTGAAGAGGTATAGCTTTGAGCTAGGGCAGCAAGCACACAGAATTGTGTAACTGTCTTTTCAATTTTATGCTCTAGTTCTGGGTTTTATTGATATCCTTAGTGCTGGGAATTTGTTTTAAGTAAATTATTACTTACAAAGTTTGTAATGGTGCAGAGTGCTATGCACTCTGAAACACAGTGGTGAGATTTTGTGTTCAAAGATGAAAAGATTTGATGAAACTAGCCTGGGAAGCAGGACTAGAAGTTTTAAAGGTCTGATCTTGCAGTAATGTTAAGTGTAAATTTACTAAGAATTACTTTAAAACTGCATTCTTACCCATAGTGAAAGATAAAAGTCTCTAAACTTTCCACTTCAGAAAAGTAGTCAGACCAGTGTTTTTTGTCTGTGTGTGCAGAAAGTCATTTGAAGGCAGGCTTTAAATTGTAGGCTTCCACTAAGAGAAAAAAGAAAAACAAAAAATCCTAAACCAAATCAAAAACCACCACCCCCAAAAAAAAACCAAAACCAACTTTTGAACAAAATTTGGAAGTGTTCAAAATCAGCACTTTGTACAGCTGTGCTATGAAAAACCACTTAAGAAATTTCTGAAAAACCAAAGTACCCAAACTGTCATTAATAGGAGTGCGGTTAGCACAGTTCGGGGAATATGTTTATCTCACAACAATTTCTGTCAAGTAACCTGCAGAAGATGACAGTTGTCTTGATAGTTGTCTTGTAGAATTTCCATTACCTAGTAGTTCTGGATTTTGCCTAGCTTAAAAAGTCTCTATTTCTAGCTGTAAAGTAATTGCACAAAGCTTTTCAGATGAAAAGCTTGGCACAAGGACCTGAGATGAACTGTGGTATTTTGCTGATACCTTTAAGATTCTGAATATTGAAAAGCAGCTTTCTAGATATGTAGCCTTTTTGTTTTCTAAAATTGTGAGTATTCCTTTTTCATATTGCCCCTTTTCATCATTTACTGATATATTTAGTGTCTCTGAGGACACATGATTTTTTTTAAAAGGCTTTTCTTCTATGAGGATGTTTGCTGAAGCAAAAAATGAGTTTCAGCAAACTATAATTGAATTATATAGTTTTTATTTTAAAATGTTATAGATTGGCCATAGCTGTTAAAAGTAGGTGTCTGGAGGAATAAGATAGTGTT